TGAAGCACATGTTAGAGGAAATATTTATTAGCAAGACCATAAATTAAATTAGTGAGGGTGGTTCATACCTTAGATATTCCATCATTTTCCATTCTGTTTATGTATACAGACACAAGTGAGAATTTTAAGTTGGTTTTTAATGTGTTCTCCCCACAAATGATTTATACTAGTCAAATGTATTTTCTTTTGGTTCCCCAACAGTTGTGTTTTGCAATTGAGGGAAAATGCTTTAAATTACTCTCTTGATGTAAATGTTTAATATTCTGTGCAGATACCACAGAGTGATTTTCCAGATGGGTTTAATGAAATACAGTATGACTTCTCCCTAAAAATTAGATTATTTGACATTCAAGACAATGTGATGAATTTAGAAACTGGCTCTGAACGTCACAATCAATAATAATGGGGTGTGTGTGTGGCTTACGTTCAAGCATAGGTTCTTTGATGGGCTGTGACCCTTAGTCCCTGATTTCAGAAAACCTTCGACAGAGCACTCCAAAGTAAGAGCTACTGTTTAAAAAAATTGTGAACTCTGCAGAACTTAAAAACCATTGTAACCAGGCTGGGGTATAGAGCACTTTCCTAGCATGCAAAGGGTCTTGGATTCAACCACCAGCACTGCAAAAATAAATGAATAAATAAACAAACATATTGTAACCACACTCTGATAATAAAATCCCGAAAATTAAATAATATTTATAATTTGGACTGTGCTAGACATTGTTTTCTACTGGAGTCTGTGAATATGCTTAATTTTACATGTATCAAGAGGAACATTTATTACAAGAATCTACAGCTTTCTGTCTTGTGAAAAGAAACAGTGTATGTATATGTATGTACATTGTTTCATAATGGAGAAAAGAAGTCAAAAACAAAAGTTCATTAAAACATGATATAAATGTACATACTATGATTCCTAAATAGATTCTTCTTGAATGCATGAGTCATAATAAAAACTCTTAATTCCATCATATGAAAATACTTTTGATGTCTATTAATTTTATTTCCTTGCTATATACTCACTGAAACTGGAAGGTGACATTGGCCTCCAGTAAAACCAAAAAGCCTATCACCACATACATTGGCCTGAGTTAGGGAAAGGAAGCTAGTTGATTTTTAAAAATGCAAAACCTTGGTTCATTTCGCCAAGGTGAATAGCAATGTTGTTGCAGTGTCGAGCAGTAAGCCCTACTCCTGATATTTTCTCTGCATTGAAAATCCTGACTAGGAGCCAAGATTTATCTTTAAGCACACATGCTTGAGCAAGTTCAGACAAAGCATTCCTCATTGTAACTCACTCTGCTTTCTTTAGAATCTAAATTTCCTTTCCAGAACAAGCTCTGGACATTTAGACACAGGATATAAAAATACCTGTGGTGACAGTATTTCAAGGCATCAAATGTTTATGTATACTTGTTCAAGTTACAGACTTGGGGATCAGTCCCCTGGATTTAACTAATTAGCTTGGCAAATCATTAGCTCCCTGCCCTGGATCTCTGTTCCTTTCTCTATAACATGGCAATACTGAAAACACCTAACCCATGTATTTGTCATGAAGATTAAAAGAAGCATCAAGACCTGGGCCTGACTCCTAGAAAACATTCAGCAAATATTAACTATTATTATTAGTCTTCCATGTACCAGGCACTGTTCAAGGCATCCTGTATGATCTCATTGCATGATCATAAAAGAGCTACAGGGTAAATATAACTGCCCTGGTTTTGTTTTTATTTTTTCTTTTTTTATTATATTATTTTCGTGCTGGGCATGCATTGTCCTGATTTTATAAATTAAGAGACTGAAACTCAGAGTAGTAGCCAAGAAACTAGCTGATAAGAGGCAGGACAATAAGTCAAACCCAGGCTTCTCTGCAAACATGTTCAACCTGTGTGCATTCTGTCTAATACAGTACCAGTTACTACAATGATTCAAATTTTAGTTTAAGTTAATTAAAATTAAAGAAAGTAAAAAAGTTTAGTTTCTGAGTTCAAGCAGCCACTTATCAAGTCTCAATGGCCATATGTTGCTAATAGCTATAGCCCTGGACTGTGCAGATACAGACTATTCCCACCTTTGCAGAATATACTACTCTGCCTCTTCAGGCTGGTTGTAATAGATGTTCATTAATAAATTACTAAACCTTTGTGATAAAGAAAACACATTTGCAATAAATAGCCATATAGAGAACAGCTTTTTTCTTTCTCTTTTTATGGTACTGGAATTGAACTTTCTGGGCAAGTATATAACCACGAGAGCTACATGCCTCCTCCCTTTCGCTTTGACTTTGTTTTTCATGTAGTGCCTCATGCTTTTGCCCAGGCTGGCCTCAAACCATGGTCCTCCTAGCTCTTCTTCTCAAGTAGCTAGAATTACAGGCATGTACCACCATGTCTGGTTGACAATAGCTAATTCTATCCAACGAGCTTCATGGGATGGAAAATATGTCCTTACACAGATATCACAGTACCCAGAATCTAGCAGAATCTTCAGTGTAGTTTAGACAACCCTTCTTGTTCAATAATAAGAACTGAGAATGAAAAATTCTGAAGTAAATATAAAAACATCAATCAATTATCTAACATCTCATCTACTTCTACTATTCCATGGGCCCCTGTTTTTCACTTGAAGCACAATAAGCTTCACACTGTTTTCAGTGTTTCTTTAGGTTTGGGGATATAGTCCACTTAGGAGTCAGTTTTTTTAAAAAGGAGATAGTGATTCTTTTTGTTTTGTTTCATTTTGTTTGTTTTATTATTTATATGTGCATACAAGGCTTGGGTCATTTCTCCCCCCTGCCCCCGAGATAGTGATTCTTTGTAACACTGATTATTTTACCCAGGACATTTTCCTCTTAACTGGAAACCAAATGACCTTTCTAATTAGGCAGTCGATATGCAATATTTGTGACATTTTATCACCCTCTTTTTGCAGGCCATTGTGATTGGTGTCAGCTGGGAATTTAAAATATAATGAGAAAATGGGAGTATCAAAGTAAACAGCCACATATTCAATATTCAAAATAAAGCCAAGTAGATTGCATCTTTGAAAAGACTTTCTTTCATATAAAGCCAACTCTGCTTGATTTTAGAAGAAATACTTGAGGTACTGGAAACAGACCTGGGAACACCATGCATGTAAAGGAGTAGCTGGGGACCATAGAAAGAACATTTGGTAGAGATCAGAATATCAATACCTCCATAGTATTTTGAACATACTTCAACAATATCTTTTACCATATTGTGTCTGATTCTACCATAGACTGTGAGCTCCTTAAACTCACTGCCTATCAATAGTGACATGGTAAAATGTTGGGTTTATTGAATAGAGAAGCCAACAAATAATTCCTAGGTGGATAATACACTCAAGAAATACCAAGAACCTGTATGTAAAACCATCCTCCTTTCCCCAAAAAACAATTATAATTGCTATCCTAAAACCTTCATACCTCATTGTCTTATGGCCTCACATAACTTTCTCTGAGCTAATACAACATGGTCTGTGTGCTTACCAACTTCTCTTTGCCAAGGTGACTTGGTTACTAGTCTATTAGTTCCACAGAAATTAAAGAATTAAAATGAGAAATTAGGAACCAGTAGCTAGATATCAGTTTGACTTCCTGAGATGAAACATCAACTCAGTCAAGCCTATAGAATGTGTTTAATACTAAAGGATATTAATTGAATTAATGCAGCTGCTAGGGAAACCTAATTTATAGTCTGTAATTTACTCCTTAAAAATTCTGGCTGTTTTGCAAGCTGTTGTGCTCAATAACTTAGAAATTTTGGCAATATATGTGCATTAATAGCCTAATTAGATATTCCTAATACACACACACCCCTCCTCACTACTGAAAATGTCCTCATGCAGCTAGCTGGTAGAAGCACAAAAAGTACTTCTCTGTATATGTATATATCTTTTCATTACTAAAGTTACTATCTCACTCCTAAAAAAATGTTCCTACTTCATGCTGACATCAGAGGAAATGAGTTCTGGTCCACTTAGTGCAAGAGGCACTGATTCATTCTTCCTTCTTAATTTGGGAGCTATGGGGTTGGTTTCCGAAACATGACATATTCCCCAGTTAGAAAAGTAAGCAGTGTTCAGGATGATACTGAGATTATGAGTTCTCATTCTGTCACTTGGTAGGAAGGTTCGCTATCCTCATGCAATTTCACTCTCAAGAAAGAAAAAACAAATGGATTAGCTAGCGTTAAGTCCCTCTTGAATGCTGTTGTTAGTATCCCAATTGTTTCCCTTGGCAAAATTATATTTCTTCTGTGTTCCACTTCCTTTGGGAGAGCCTGTTTTACAAGCCAATTATTTTGATATTTGTTTTCTTTTATATTTTCTCAAGTAAACATGTTTATGAGCATTTAATCATTAGGAATGAAAGAGCTAAGGAAAGGCATTTGACCCTATTCCCTGCCACACTCTCACCAAAGGGTCTATGCATTCCAAGAATCCACCTTTACTCTTCCTTCCCCATGGCCAGCTCTTGCTGACCCCAAAGAACAACTTAATCCCAGAGATAGTTTCTAATCAGGCACAATAAAAGGAAGAACGAGCTGTACCTACCCTCCCTCCAAAATAAGCATATGCTGTTCTAGTCCTGCATTCCGGTTTTATCATTTATTTGGAGTTGAGCAATATAACTTGACTGCTAACACACCCAAGATCTCAGGGTTACTTCTAAGCAGTTTCTGGGTAGAAGAAGTTCCAGGGACATACAGACCAAGAACTATTCATCATCTAAGCAATGATGAGAAAATGAGGCATATTGAAAACAAGCTTTGGCCACACAGTGGACAGGAGGCATATAATACACTGGCATGATTCCAAGGGAGGAAGGCCTGATGACAGGCATTCCTGGTATGACTAGTATTTGGTTAACTCCATGATATCTCAAAGAGCAACTCCAATGAACTAGTCCTATTGCTAAGATTATTGTTTTATATAAAAGCAACATAACTCCACCTGGTTTCTTTTTTATTAATTCACAGAATATCAATATTGGGGCTCAGAGCTACAGCTACCTACCCTAAATTTTGAAGATGTCTTAAAAAATGATGAACAAGCATACGAGTGGCTCTCCAGCCTCAAAAAAGTAGGCATTGTGAGGCTCACTGGAGCCTCTGACAAACAAGGAGAAGTTACAAAACTTGGGAAAAGGATCGGTTTCCTATATCTCACATTTTATGGGTAAGTCACCAGATGTTTTGTATTTTGCCATCACAAATACTGTTAGTATTTCTTTCCCAGAGGGGGGTACTCTTTTGATTAAAGATACAGAAATGTCCATAATGTCTTACGTAGAAAGCCACATGGAAAGAGGAGGCTAAAACACTATTTTTCTGAGAATGATTATAATTTTTAAGAAACCTAAAAGGTCAAAGACATAAGGCTGGTTACAGCCTGGCATGTTAGACTTCTCAAGCTGTCATAGCAAAATGCCGTATTCGGTGTAACTTAAACAACAGAAATTTGTTTTCGCAAAGATCTGCAAGATGAAAGTCCAAGATCAAGGTGCTGACAGGATTAGTTTCTGGTGAAGCCTGTTTTTCTAGCATGTAGATCCACCTGGTCTTTCCTCTGTGAATAGCACACTCACTCTTTCTTCCTCTTCTTCCCTAGTCTTACTGAATTAAGACCTTACCCTTACTTTATTTAACCTTAACTACCTCCATAAAGGACATATCTCCATATACATTAGGGTTTCAACACATGGATTTGGGGATATGCAATGCAGCCTACAACACAGGATGGAAGATTCTGTTTCTCTCAAGAGTTTTGTAAAGTACTCAATTTTATAAATGTTAAAAGGGTGTTTTTTTTTTTTTTTTTTAAGTTTTACCTCTCAAGAGTTGTCACAAAGTAATGGATCCTGGGGAATTGAAACCAGCCACCAGATGTAGTAAAGGATAAAACTAACATCCAGAAAATTGAGCCTGTGTGCTTTAGTAAGTAACAGGAAATATAAATTAATTTTAACTTTGGAACAAGAAGCTATTTTCATCAAGAATTTTCTAGAAAGTAACATTAGTTATAGAAAGTTAAATAGTAACAACAGGAAACACTTATCTGGAAGTGAGGGGTATTATTGAATTTCAAATCACCTTGTGCAAGACGGATACAATTATTCTTGGACTCATATAGTTGAGAGCACCAGAACTGAAAGGGACCTTCAAAATCCACAGATTGCAAACTGGTAGCACACAGGCTATATTTAGATGTATTTGATTTGGCCTACATGATGTTGAAAGAAAATGGAATTAGTTGTCAACACTTAAAAACTGGGAGACTTTAAATTTATGTGGATCTATCTTTTTCTGAAAAATCAAGTCTAGCAACAATTGAGCTGAAACTCAACATGACAAAAATCTGTTTGACATAAGCAGAAGCTCTACCTTGACGAGTTTGCCCAAGTCCTCTTCTCATCCCAAACCTGCAAGAGTCCCTCTAGGAGTTTGCCACCCCTAATCTAGAGTAAGCCCTAGACAAAAGCTCAAGAACGTGCAATCACTTGGCTTCAATAATTTGAGCAAGTTTATTCATGGCAAAAGATACTACCATATTTAGATTTGGAAAAACCTAGACCCCTCCCCAGACTAAGAACTTACTTATACCATTAGCATATTGCCTTATATAAAATTTGTATGTCCCCATCATTTGCAAGGATTTGTGATGCCTTAGAGATTAAAATGATAGCAGAAAAGGAAATTATTATAATACTCAAGTATATTATTTGTTCTTTAGTTATTCTAAGATCTCTGAAATAGATACTATCCTTCAGTTCACTGTTAAGGAATCTGAAACCCATAGAATTTATTTGCAATCCAAGTTCTCATGAGTAGTAATAAAAGAATCAGACAGTATAAATCTGGGTTTACTTCTCCATATTTCTGTTAAATTATTACTAATAAAAGAAAAAAGAACATGGAAAAGTTGCTTTCAGATGCTGGAATTAAACAGAACACTTCAGAATAAATTTCTTCTACGTTATTTTACTCAGTTTTTATTTGCTAACAGAAAGCTTTTTGCATCTATTCCAATGCACTTCACAATTTCATAATAGTGATCAAATTTTGGGACTCTTTTTTGGAGTTCCCTAGATCTATCCACTCAGGGACAGAATCTTAGTACTGATTTATGATTTGTCTTTTGTTTGTTTTGTTTCTACAAGTCCCATAAAAGGGCTTAATAACTTGGCCAGTAACCTAATATTGTGAAATTTATTGGAATAAATATGAAAGGTCTGTTGTCAAAACAAATCAGAAACTCCTACTTTTCCATTTTCTTTATCCTCGACATTCCATCTAACTAGAGAGGCTGATCCTCTTCCATCTTGCCTTCTTTCTCTACATATGTCAGGAAATGCTTTCTGTTTGCCACCTTATCCCTGTATCCACAACTCATTACCAAAATCTCTCCTTTTTTTTTTTTTTTGGCAATTTTTAATTCTCTACCTCCAGAACTGTGACTGCAGTCATTGTTTTGTTTGCTTGTATTTTGTTGTTGTCGTTGTTGTTAAGATAATGAGATAACTAAATATTTTGTATGAAGTTATCCCTCTGTTCCTCTCCTCTTTACAGTAATATGAGAAAGTAATACTGAAGTTTGAGTAACATGAAATTTAAAAGAATACTCAGGAATGTCCCCTAGTATTCTAAGGGATACCTACAATGGTACATCTCAACTTGAACTACGTGTTGGAATAGGCAGTTTTTAAAATACAGACAAAAGGGTTCTGTCTCCAGAGGCTTTTCTTTAATTGGACTGTATCTTTTAAAAAAACTTGGCAGGTAATTCTCGCATGTAGCCAAAGTTGAGAGTATCTGGTTGAGATGAAGAGATACTTCAAGACAAACAGGTCTCAGCTGCAGTAGAACTTGGGTGCTTTACATCCTCTAAACTCTCACAACTAATGTGCACCTAACATGTTCTTCTTTCTATGTTGTTTTTGTCTGGACATGACTGATCCTCATGATGGAAACAGTAGCAGCCTTAAACAAAGTCCCTATTGTTCCGATCTCTGTTTCTCCATTGACAAAGTATCTTATTCTTGGTTTGAAAACTAAATGATTAGTGAGTACATGAGTAGACTATATAAATGAAGACAATAAAATGTAAAAGAGGGATTGTCAAAAATGGAAAGGGGGTAGGGAAAGGAAAGTTGGTGCAAGGTAAACTGCTTCTTAAGCAGATTTGTCAAAGAATCTTGTGATGGCTTTTGCTTAGATACCAAAACAAGAATAGCTGGTTGGTGGTGCCACTTTAAACATGCCTGCCTCAGAAAACAAATACTTACCTAACACTTCCATTCAAATAAGAGTTACATGGGCTGTCAGACTGGCTCAAATGGTAGAGAACCTGCTTAGCAAGAATAAGGCCCTAAGTTCAAGCCCCAGTACCACTAAAAAAAATAGTAATCTATCAAATAGAGCTATTATTTTGGAGAATTTTAAATGTAGGCATCTAAAATAAGAAACAAGAGTAACTCTTTTCAGTTCTTGGCTGTCATCTCAAAGGTTAAGTGGTTGGTTGGAAGAATTAAAAATAATAGATTCCAGCATTGCATTCATTCTTCATATGTAGTTGGCAAAGAGTAAATGCTGAATGAATAAATGCTTTCCTAAGACCAGACGCAGTGGTTCATGCCTATAATCCTAGCTACTAAGGAAGCAGAGATTGGGAGAATGACAGTTGGAGGCCAGCCTGGGCAAAAAAGTCAGTGTGACTCCATCTTAACCAATAGCTAGGCATGTTAGAATACTCCTGTCTCCCAAATACATGGGAAGCATAAATAAAAGGATCACAGTCCAGACTTGTTGGCAGAAAACATGTGATATCTATTCCAAAATAACTAAAAACAAAAAAGAAGTGGGTAGGGTCTAGGGTCATGATTCAAGTGCCACTAACAATCTTGGGGCTCTGAGTCAACCTCCAGTACCATCCCCACCAAGTCAATTACATGAATGCCTAGATTTTTTTCAGGACCATAGAACATCAGATGAATGTAATAATTATTGCAGCATTTCATAATTACAAACATGTTTAACTAAATCAGAATGGTAATCAATCAAGTTACAAAAGTGTACATCATTTCCACATCTGCATTTTCTCAGATGCTTGCCATTATTTTGTCAGCACATCTTCTAGAAAGTTTTTTTCTTTCATGCAAGTATATGAAATGCTCAGTAACCCTAATGCCCCAGTGATGAAAGCTAAAGTCTGGGAAAGAACTCCCACTGTCAATTTTGTGAAAAGACAAGATGTGGAGAGAATATAAAAATGTAAACTGTGTATGAAGATTTAAACCTTTGATTTGGAGCTATGCAGTTTTTATAAGGTTATACCATAAAAGTCCATACCACCCTACCAGAAAATTAATAAATTAACAATAATAACTTTCCAAAGTCCCTTCAAAAAGTTTTAAAGAGATTTATCTGAATCTCATGACATAATTTAACCCAATGGAAAGTAGTCATTGTAAACTATACCTGCCTGTAAAGTTAGAATGTTAGGATACATCAAGCATGTATCCTACAGAGTAAATCCCCAAACAACTACAATTTCTGCCAATAAAAGAGAATATCTTTCTTGAATAACAAAATGTGCAAGGCAGTATTCTAGGCATTTAGTTCTAAACTGATTCAAGATTTTACTTTATAGAAAATTGTCTTTGGCGACTGCTATATATGGATGAATGTAAATACCTGAGTTAGCTCTTCTAAGTAATCCAGACCAATAAAAATTCCATTAAGAGCAAGGAACAGACTGAGGAGAAACCAGACATTACAAATAAGGTAACATAGTGACAGAGTGCCTGCATAGCAAGTAGTAGGCCCTCAGTTCAAACAACAACTGAGGGAACAAAACAATCTATACATGCCAACAACAGTTCAAAGGAGATGAATGCTCTCCCAAAATGGTACAAATTATGGCCAAAAAGCAGCCATATTTATCTAACAATATGATCTTTAAAGAGAATAAAGTCCAACTCCCCAAACTTTATATAAGCTACCATTGTATAAGTAGGCATGGCAATAATAAATATATTTTTTAGTTAAGACTATGCCATGTAAGGCATCCCCACTTCCCCATCCTCAAGCTAATCCAACTCAGATGGAAGCTGTTTTTACCACATCCCATTCTTCCCCATTGCTGGCATAAGCCAGTGAAACTAAGACATATGTATCTCA